TAATGCCTCTTGAAAACTAACTCCTGCAAATAGAGATGCAAGAATAGCCAAGTTTGATGGGAAATGATGTTTTAACTCTCATGAAGTTGTGGCAAGAGCAGACCTCTGGAGAAGGCAGCTCATCGACTGCCCCAGCTTCCAAAATGGAGCAACTTCCTTAAATATTTGTGTTCTCCCAAACACTTCAGTTTTGGGATTTTTTCTGCTGTTTTAGTTTTTCTGACTTTGTCAGCCCTATGAATGGCAGAAGTCTCCACTTCGCCAAAACCAAATGTATTCATAGGAAGTAGATTTCTGGCCACTGCTTTCAAAGGAGTCTGATTAAATTAAATCCACCAAAGTATATTTACTGTCTCCAAAAAGATCCTTTGAAAGTCCCAGCTTCCATTTTTTAGCCTGTCACCAAACCAGAGACACTAGAAGAAAGTTTTGATTTTTCTCCTTATCCTTCCTCAAAAAGCTACATTCATCTTTAGTTTTTAATGCCTCCTGCTAGCCTCAGAGCATTTGGAGGCCATGGAGTTGCTTTGACAAGGCAGAGCAACTGCAGATTTAATTAATGCCCCTTCTGATGTTGTTCTCTGGTGCCAGTCTAGACTGAGCTGATGAAGATGAACAAGGGTGGTAATTGGCAGTGGGACTGGATCTGGATTTTAGCTCCTCTTTAAGTAATTAAAGATACCCATGAAACTGGGGGGTTCAAGCAGAGAACAGAGGGTCATAGTTGTTCTTGTACCGTCCCAGGTAAGACAGGATTCTCTTCTCTGCTGGGTACCATGGGTCTGGAAAGGGCAAAATCGGCTTAGATCAGGGCAGAAGCAGCCTTACTCTAGTCATGGTGGATACCACAGCATCTACCACAGGAAGGTCAAAACTTGTGGATTTATGCTCTGCTTCTACAAGACGGGGACAGGGAGCGCAGGAGATAAGCTTACTTAATCCAGCACTAGATTTGCTGTGATCCCCAAGACAAGACCTTCATTTTAACATTCACCATCTTCACAACTCTTGATGAACCCTGGTACCTAGCCCCCTTCATCCCCTGTGGTATCACTAACATCCTTGCAGCAGGCTTGGAGCAGCTACTGGGAACTTCCCAGACTGAGTGTCTGGCACACCATTAAAACAATACACATCAGGATGAAGCCAGCACAGCTCAGAGACCAAACTGAATGAACAGACATCTAGATCTCCACCAGTCCCTAGGGATATCTGCTCAGTGTCACCCTCATCTGCCCCTGTGTGGTGCAGCAGCTGACCAAGGTGCAGCTGGTCCTGTACCATGTGAATATTTCTTACATGGAGATTATTTCTCCTATTCTGAATCAGGCTGAAAAAGCCTAAATTTTAAAAATAAACAAAAGAAAGCAAAAATTGCCCTAAATATGTGTGAGACCCTGAAGTATTTTACGCCAAATTTGGGTTTTAACTTCTTATGGTCAAAACAAAACAACCATGATGGGAGTAAGCTGACATATAAAGCCAAAATTGATTTAGAAATGCAAAAAAGCAAGAATTTAGTATCCCAGCTTGCAAAATTTTCATAATTAATTATCCATCAAAACCACATGAAAGGAATGCCAAATAAATACACAGCAGGGCATGGATGGTGGGAGAAGGATATGCCCAGTCCTTTAAAAACAGTGATGAAGAGAGTGGAAGCAGTCTAATGAATTCCTATTTTGAAACAGAAAATGTATGTAGAGATTTCTTCTGTGGGTCTTTTCCCCTTCCTATGGCTTTGCTTACACTGCCTCTCCTTGGTTAACCCTCTATAGCTCCAAACCCCACTTACTGAATTTTTGAAGGTTTTAGCTATGGTCTTTGCGGGATCAGGAGAAAACAGGTCACAGTATTCAGGGTAAGAGTTTGCAGTTAAATTTCTTCTACTCTGCAAGAGAATTCTGATAGGTATCAATAAAATAAAGGAGGTATTTAAACAGTGCAGGACAAATACTAAATACTATCAGTGCGAAAAAATCCAGTAATGATGCTGGGAAGAAGAAAGAGAACCTCTTTTTTCACTTTTTTATTCTTTTTTACTTTTTGGCTAACAAGTGGAAATATCTTTGACGGTGAATAAGGGAATAATGAGAGTGGGAAGTTTTGCCTGTATTTTCTCCACCAAAAATCATCATTTGATGTGTAGAAAACACAAAAATGTTCCCAAACACAACAATAACCATCAATATTAAGCAGATCCCCCCATATCTCATTTCTCATGTAGGTATTTCACCATGTAAAGAACGTTAACCAGCTCTAGGTTTCTGTTGCCACCGCAGTCAGCCAAAGAGATGCTCAAGAAACACCAAAGTGGGTGGACACGGAGGAGGGAACTGGAGATATTTCTGTCCCTGTGTGCCCCATGTGGTACTTCCATTGACACGACAATTTTGAGCACTTTCAGGACACTTCTGAATAGTTCATACGTAAAGGATTAAATAAACTCCTGTAGAAAGGAAATGCAAATTCAAACCCACCATATTCTATTAGTTAAATTACAGTAGCTATGAAACATAACTTAATTAAGCTGGAAAAAAAAGCCAATTACAGAACTTTCCTGCTGGTTTTTACAAGCTGTGTTGATTTTTCTTTTCCTCCCTCCTTACCCTTCCATGTGCCCCTTGCTAATTTTTTATGATCTGTTCTAGAACAGCATAATGCATCTGCAGTTTTTAATGTTGAGTGAAAAAAGCTATTTCTCTGAGTGCAACTGCTCTCAGCCCAAATCCATGGCAGAGGGAAAAGAAAAGGTTGGTGCAATAAACAAAAACAAGCCCTGAACAAACAAATTTCCAGCAAAGCAAGATCAAACAAACAGAAGTATCCCCTGCTCTGATGTGTGTGTGAGACTTTCCCACCATGTTACAAAACAGCCCAGGAATGATTAACGTCCTCTGTTTTCCACACACTTTGCAGACGCACTGTTTTGTTCCCAGCTGCACAGATAGCAGCGTCCGTGTTGTCCCCTGCTTTGTCAGGCTGCCTGGGTAAGGGATGCAAGAGCTGAGACGTTAATGTCACCTATTCTCTATATGGGTGCTTCTCATTAATGAAGGGTCTCATTAACGCCAATGCTGAGTGTGGCCTTAGGACCTCATACAAAGTTCAGGACGTGTTTCAGGTCAGTCTTACTGGTTTCATAGGAACCTGCTGTGACTTATAAAGTAAGACCCAGACACTACATAAAGACCCTCACCACTGTTGTATAGTGGAGTAATTGCACTGATTTCAGTGGAGCAATGCCACAGCTAAGGACAAAATTAAGCCACCAAATTAATTTGTAA